GGGCCCCTTGCTGCTGGGAGGCAATGCTGGCTGTGGCACGGGCTGGCCTCCTCCCCTGCCAGCAGCAGCAGGAGCCCAGGCAGAGACCCTGCAGCCCCCCAGCACAGCCCCTGCCTGCCCAGCAGCCTGAGCCCCCACTGCCAAGCACAGCCTCAGACTTGAGGAGGATCCCTGGGTGAGAATCGTCTCACTAGCCCACGACCAGTCCCGTTTGCCATCTCTGGCATACCAGGAATACAAGTGCCAGCCCAAGATACCCCACCAGGCCTGGGAACCCCACACTGTGGGGTGGGGAAGGGGCCCGGCAGACCCGGCGGCGGCCCTGGGCTCGTTGCACATCTGGACTCTGCCCCTGCCTCCCCAGGGTTCCGTGTCCCACCGCCCTCCAGGAAGGGCAAGGCGGTCACCCTAATTCTAGGGGTGCCAACTAGGAAGGACTAAAACACCGCCTCAGACCTGACCAGCTGCCTGATGCTGCAGACAGGCTGGATCCCATCGGAGGGGCTGCCTTTGGGTCTGTCCCCGGCTGGAAATGACGTTTGACCCTCTCTGTTGCCCAGAGCCGGAGGCTCCAGTGAAGCTGGAGAACATGGACGTGTCCAGCCAGGGCAATCTGGCACTGCAGCTGCGCAAGGCAAAGAGCAAGAGTAAGTCCGGGGTGAGACGCGCAAGCAGCAGGGACCCAGCCCAGGCCCCACAGGCAGACGGGGGGCTCAGCACCAGCCTGCTCTCCTTGGTGCTGCCCTGCCACGAAGGGGCACGGTGTAGGCCCCTGCCAGATGCCCCCTTCCTGCTCGCAGCTTGCCCTGGAAGCATCCTGGCACACCCGCAGGGTGGGCAGGACTGCGCCGCGGGCCCCAGCATCTGATGGCCCTGTGTGTTTTACAGGTGAGGGGCAGAACTGTTCCACGAACCCTTGCAGGAACGGAGGCACCTGTGCCAGGGATGCCGACTCCTACCACTGTGACTGCCGCCCAGGATTCAAGGGCTGGCTCTGTGAGCTGGGTGAGTGCCACACTGCTGCCAGAGGGCGAAGCTCTGTCCTACACGTGGACGGCGTGTGTCCAGCCTGGCAACTGCCCCAGTCACAGGTCCCCCAGGGTGCAGGTTGTCGAGCACACCCTGTCAGCGCTCCTTCCCGACTGAGGGGGCTCCCACCGTGCCCAGGCTCCGACAGAGAGGGCTGCGCTGTGCCGACAGCGGAGAGAGGGGCTGGGCTCTGTTCTTGCTGGTTTGGGCAGACCCGGGAGTGCAGCTCTGCTCCCCGCTTCTGGCCGAGCCCTCCACCAGGCAGCCTGGAAAGCCAGGCCTCTCCCCTGCCCACGTAGGTATCTGGGCACGGCCAGGC